GTCTAGATTGTAAATTGATCTAAAGTCAGCAATCAGCTCGATGCAACCAGACGATTCTCTAATTTTTGTTAGTGTTTGACATCAAATTAGAAAAAACTTACATGAAATATGAGCCGTTTTTGTGGTCAAGGATGTAGTGATGGCTGTTGTTGCTATTGTTGTAATTGATACTATTACACAAAGAAGAAGAAGACATTTGTATGAGTTTATCAATTAGTAATATAATAGCTGGCAAAGAAGCCTTGATATATTTTGAAGTTTTAGTATTTAGTTCATGGCTGTATTGGCCATACTACGCAAAACCAAAGTCATCAAGATCCTTTTCAGTTTTTTCCTCAAGTAGAAAAATAACATACAAGAAATCATTTGAATTTTTCATTCTCACAAAGACCCTGAGTTCTCTTCCTACAGGTTATTTAATTACATTCATTTTCCAGAGTCTTAGACTAAGAATACAATTATCAGATCCTCTTGATTTCAACAGTTGAATTCGATCTTCATGAACTGACAGAATGTACTGAACTCTGACGTATGATCCGTTGCCAAAACTGCGAGTTTCCGACAGAATCTGGAGAAGATAGTTTTGGTTTGAGTGAGCGATATTCCACACTACTTCACGGTTGTGTTTAAATTTATTGTTTCATTTTCTAGATGAGCCATGGTCTCGAGCTTTGTTAAAAATCGGAATATCCATGGATGACGCGAACGAGTTGCAAAATAATTCAAAGAAATGGATATAACAACAGGATCTACCATGTTCTCAATGTGGGAACCGCAAACCGACTCATATCAAGTCTCTCTCGATGTGGACGTTGCGAAATTCTGATAGTGTCTAGTAGACTTGCTCTTTTATCAATTTCTTTAATACATTTCGTAATTTATGTTTTCTGAATTACAAAGTATTCGAAAGAGAAGTTACTCAAAACAATGCCTCAATAAATAAGGAATTACGAAATGGAAGAAAACACAATTCATGTTTGTGAAACCAGTCAAAGATTAGTGTTAAGCGAAATATTATATCACCATTGAAAAGCTCCAGTTTCTTCTAAAACTTTGTTCATCAAAGTTTCTCAGTATCAGATTTCGAATAAACTGATGGATATGAAAATTTGAAAATAGAACATATTATGGTTATGTGGTCAAGTATTCGCTTTTCTTACGAAGCCTCTGGTAATAGCAATAACTTTTCACCGTTAAAACAATCATTTAGAAACTATCCTTCAACACTTTCCAGTATCTAAGCACCAAGTTCTACATCTTTACAACATATTTTAGCATCTAAATACTATGGTATGTCAAAAAGAAGTTGAGATAGGATGATTTCCACACTGAATGACAACATTATCATGTAGTTTTGTTCTTCCTAAAACAACTATACCAGTTGTAGTGGTCCTTCTAGTCAAAACGATAGGCACGACAATGGCTGTTATCACAACGCATATACCAAGAAGGATCCCAAAAATGCTTAAGATAATCCTTATAAACGTGAAACGTGCTAATCATTTATATAATGAACTGATTACTGATACGAACCTCTTGTTGGTGTTTGTCCAACGAGTTAATGGTTGAAACAAATCTTCTGACATGTTTCACTACTTCTGATTTTGTTACAAATGACATTCATTTATTCTAACATGCGAGATTTGAGGAAGAAAGCATGCAAAACTATATCCTAGACAAACATTTTTATCATTTGTTGTCACACATGGAAGCCTAAAAGTGTATCTTGATTTCCTGAAGTTCTTATGAATGGGAAACAGTTTGAGCGGATGCCTGAACTCGGCGTAGGTTTTAATTAATTAATACGTTGAAATTATTTTGAATAATCGATGACAATTTAAATTTAATCTATCTTTTGCTGGCATCATACATCAACATCATGAAGCATCTTTTACGAAGGGTACGTCACAAAACTCTACATTAAAGAGTTCTTTTTAAGCAAGAAGGTATACCAATTCTGGTTCGGCACAAGAATAAACTTGGAGTGAATTATTTTGTATGTGGCATAAAACAACATATTGATAAGTTTACTCATCATATCAAAATTCATTATAGAAATGATGGGATAGTTTTGATTTATTTTCATTGTGTTTAATTTTTTGACAAATTATTCGACATCTGTTTTGTTATATCATATGAAGCTGAATATTCTTGTAAAAATGCCATATCAGTGAATTATTGTCATTATGAAATATACAGAATGACCATGTTCGTATACAAAGATCGATAATGAAAATAGTATTGACTCGTTTATCTACTCTATTAAGTGTTAATTATAAATCTAAACTTTTCATTTTTTTCTCTTTCCGAACTCTAAAGCGAACGAATATTTTATAGGTATACATGACGATTGTAATATCTCCGTCCTTTTTCATCGTAAAATAATTATTTTTATATCACGAGAAAGAAGAGAAAATTCTACATATGCTCATATAAAAAAATATTTTATAGCTGTAAGAATAGTTAATTAATCAAGGTTAGACAAATTAAAAACGTTCATTTTATGCGCTTGCCCCTAAAGTAAACTTCCAGCAAGAAAACGTCATTAAACAGAATACACCAATGTAAAACAAACAAAGATGTCAAAAAGAACAAAATTTATCTATTTCTACCCATAGTTTTCAATAAAAATTTTTGAAATTGATACCATTCGATCCGTTATCTTTAATTCTATCATTCCCTAGCGGTTCAACTTAATTCATGTTGATCTCAATTTTTTATTAAGTTAATAAGAAAAAAAAGACTTCATTCAATTTATGTGCACTTGGGTACGGGTGTGAAATTTGATTTTGTATATTATTTTAATACCCACACTCACATCATTTTGAGTGTGGAGACACGTGGCCTACGTTTGTGTAGATAAATTTTTCATCACATAAAAACATCAATTCGTTCTCTACTCCGACATTTTACTGTTGTCTTGCACCAATGTGTGTAGGAGACCACTTACTTCTGAAGGTTCGTAAAAGAAAAGGCAAAAGAGAGCTGCAACAAATAGAAACGCGACAGAACAAATTACCACACGTTGTCTGAATCACTCACGCACTATTTGAAACAAAAAGGAAGTATTGCAACATGCATAAAAATTCTGATCAACTTTGAACATTGTTGACATGATTCAACACCGCTGTGAGTAACACTTAAGCAGTATTCATATGCTGAGAACAACTCTTTGCATAAACTTTCTTCAAGTAGTTCGAATCTTCCGACACACTAAATTTAAATGTGTCGTATTTATGTGTCGTGAATTATTGTGTCGTACACTCCAGCAGAAAAATGTGGCGTGCTTAGAATGTGTCGTATACGAATTTGTCGCGTTCTGTCTACTGACTATTCATTCACCGTTTTATTATGCACACATAATGATATATAAACAACTTGGTTGAACATAGAAAAAAACATTTCAAATTCTTCTTATTTTCTAGATTATTTCTCGATTATTTTTTTTATCGAGAAAATGCCAATCTCGATCCATGATCGAGAGAAGACTACCCTGAAGTGATCTGATACAAATCGGATCAACTCGAGATTGGATAGATCCCAGGATCTGACCAGCTTGAGTTTTCAGAATTAGAATAATCCAATGGAATTAAATTAAAAAAAAAACATCGAAATATGATTTTTCAAAAGAACCAATAGAAAATGTGTCGCATGTGTCTCACGAAATGTGTCGTGGTCCTTCTGGAGAAAATGTGTCGCACTTTAATGTGTCGTATAATGTGTCGCAAAGCACGGCACATGCGACACATTTTAACTTAGTGTGGATCTGAGAAATCCACCAAAATCATGATGTATGATCTAGTAAAAAACTGTTAAGCATCGAGGTAATACGTGATCATTTGAACAGTCAGTCGAAAAAAAAACATCTGAAATTAACGCACCTTTTCAGAGTGGTTCATATCTGTAACATTTCTGTAGCATGCAATGTATGCATGATATTTTCCTCTTCTTACTATTCCTTCTCATCTTATGTATTGCCTTTATATTTCTATCCTTACCCAGTAAATCGTATTGTACTTTGTGCCTATCATATGGTAATTATCTTCCGTCTTTGTTGTTGTTTTCTTTCCTTCTCTTTTATGGACGAGTATATAAGCGCATGCTTTGTATGTAAATGATGAGATTCTTGATAGGAAGAAATACAATAACTCTTCGTCTATCCAAAAATTATCACAATATCTAAAATATATAAGTAAGTGAACGACTTAATGTTGAAGTATAAAACCGTTTTATTTTAACAGCAGTAAAAACTTTTGTCTGTAATTGACAATGTCAGCTAAGAAAATGACAGAATTCATTTTTGCAGAGAAACTGCAAAAGTAAATTCTGTATAGGCCATTTTTATGACGAAACTAACTGATATTGTGCAATTAAATCGGCACTGTTATTTAGTGATACATATAGGATGTTTATAACTAGCGAACTATTGTATTTATTATACAATGATATCGTTATATATTCTTTTCTTTTTCGATAGTCTTTCGTAGCTGACATTGTCAGTTACAGAAAAAAAGGTTTTATATTTCAAAATAACAATGGCAGCATGTATGGACACATTTTAATACTAAGTAAAGGTTTGCTTTCGATCTATTTTGTATTGATTGAAGATAGAAAGACAAGAATGTATAATGATATCATCGTGTAGTAAAAACAATAGTTTGCTAGTTAGCAACAGCCTATATCTATCATTGGTAAGGGGAGCAGAACGATTTTAATATTGATTATAAAGACTTTTCATTTGTTTTTCTTTAGATATTTTTTTTCCATATAAGACTCAACAATGACAGAAGATGCTGATAATTTAGAAACAATAGAAGAAATATCTTCAAACGATTCAGAATATTGTCCTCGGTGTTATCCACTATTTTCTGGTGAAAACATTTTTAATTTAGTCAAAGGATTGTTATTTTATATATTTAGCTATTCATTGTGTTCGCGATTGATCACGTTATTATTGCTATTACAGACAGCTGTATTATGGCTTGGTTATTCATTAAATATTGTTTTACAATTATTATTTATACCATTTTTATATTCCAGTGTGGATTCTAAACATAACGTTATAGTTTTTCTAGCATGTGATTTTATATTACCTGGTATTATATCATTTTCATCTCATTATTTTTGGTTTATCATACAATTTGCTTTTCATTGTTATACAAGTAATGAAACTAGAGAAGAAAAATTAAATAAAAAAAAAGTGAATAAAAATGATACTGATGATCTGTTATATTTTCCAGAAAAAAAGCATATTTACCGATGTTTTATTACAATTAGTATGGTTGTTTATATGACATTTCGAACGTTCATTATGGATGAAGATCGATTTAGAACTCTATTTGCATCAGTGGGTCTTTTCCCACTATTTTTAATGGGAATTCTTCATATTGTACATTTATTTAGTATTTATTGTTTTGTTCGAAAAAGTATCACAGAGAAGATAAATGCAAATGTTTCTTCTCCGAGTACGACTAATAATGATGATACACAGTATTTTCGTGCATTTGTCATATTTACAGCTCTGACGATCGCTTACAATGCGCGACAAAGCGAAACATACAGTTTAAATGTATTACGTTATACTATTATTGGACTTTTATTTTCTAGTTATATTTTACTATTTATTCAAACACCAATAGAAATGATTCATATTGGTAATAATCAAAAATGTCCATGTTCGAATAACAAATCAACAGAAGAAAAAATCTCATTTTACAAACCGAAAGCTTTGAAAGTGAGATTGATCAAAAAAATTATTCAAATATCATTATCAATGAAGCAAAATCAACAATATCATATATATAAATTGTTTATAGTAATTATTCTTCATGTTATGTTGATATCATTAAATCATATTTTGTCACATTTCTTTCATCAACGTAATTTATTACTTATAAATATTTTAAACATAATACCTATTCTTCTTTGGGTACCACCAGTTTTTAATCAACAAACAAATCAATGGATTCTAAATATTCAAATGTCTTTAGTTGGATTATTAATAATTTTGATGCATTTCATATCATCAATTGGTGTTGTGATTTTATTGCTTCTTAATTCATTAAGTAATCGGATGGCAGCATTGTTTTTACTTGTTGTATTGGCTTATACAGTTGCATTGATACATTATTATAGACAACATTGGATAAAATATTCATCATTATCAATGGCTTTAAAAAAATGGATCAAGAGTCATGAATCGACTGGTATTTATTTGCAAGCATTTTCAATAGTGTTTGTTTTACTTTCTATAATTGGATTTTTGGGATTTAGTTTTGCTTGCTCTATCTATGTAGAAACTGTGTACGATAAAAGTAATTTACCATTGTATCCAATACAATTATCTGGTAGCTTTGAGAAGTTCAGCAATGATGAACAGCAGCGGCATTATAGAATGCAAGCTTGTTATTGGAAATTTAATAACTTTGATATACAAGATATGACGCTCTTTGCTGCATTAGCTTATGTGCCGAAAGCAGAATTAAAATCCCAAATAAAACATTTTTTTCCAAATGATCAAGTCGTCTTTGTTGACCAATTTCAGAACTATAAAGAATATGGTCATGGCGAAATAACCTATTATACTTTAGATACACCTGAAACAGTGATTGTTGTTATACGTGGTACAACATTATCTTACGAATGGCTCGTTGATTTTGATATATGGACAGAATCAACAATAAATCAAATGATTTCAATCCTATTTCCATGGTCAAGATTATATCCACGAGGTGTTCATAAAATAATTGTCGAAAAAATGTCCTTATTAGAAAATTTCTTTAGTGATAAATTGACTCAATCATCAAAACGTTTTTATGTTAAACAAATGATAAAACTATTACGAGAGATAAATGTTAAATTTAAAAATAAACCATTGATATTAGTTGGACATTCACTTGGTGGTGGCTTAGCACAATTAGCTGGTATTGCTATGAATAACACAGTAGCTGTTGTATCTATTAGTGGACCGGGTATATCAAATTCACGTGCTAAATATAGTGAAACGAAGGATATTCTGATGGAAACAATCAATGAGCGTGTATTTAACATAATAAATGATCGTGATTTAGTTCCATGGGTCGATCCACAGGTTGGACTCGTTCAAAAGATAACATGTCCAAATGAATTTAGTAGGCTCCAATGTCATCAGATAAATCCAATATTATGTAATTTATTGAAAAGTTGTGGAAATCCAAGAAAATTTAAAATAAATCAAGATATTTGTCGACCATAAGAAAAATAATCAGGACATCGCTCTTACTTTTTTCCTTATATGTGTATGGTTTCTATTTTTGGAATGCGCGTGTTTATCAAAGAAAATAACAAATGACGCGTTATCTTTTATCATTCGAGATATAATTGCCTTTGGATTTATTTCTATAGTGTTGCCTACCTGGTGGACTACTTTGTAGAGGAAAGAAAACTGTAGAAAATATCCTAAATTGAAGTTCATACTTTCAAAAAAAATTGTTTGACGAGAAGTACTAATATCATTGACACATTCTATCAATTGATTTTTTTTACAGGCAGTACACCCATACCCATAAACTCTACAAGCTGTGTTATCACCTATTTTTGCCTCTCTAAGAATCAATAATATAAAGTTGTTTTTTTATATTTGTAGTTAAATCACGTCAAGCATTATTTGAATTGTGAACCATCGTGATGTCTGTTATTTATGACTTTGATGGTATGCATTGATTATAATGATCATAGATATGATATTTTGATTTCCTAATATCAAAGTCCAAGAACTCTTGAATAAGTTCATAATCATGATAAAGTATTTTTTAAACTTTTATTATTACATACACAAAGTCTGGCGAACAAGTTTTGAGCGTTTACAAGTAATATTTCTTCTTCATACGTTTCGTCAGTAGCAGAGTTTGATATCTGCAGCATGTATACAGAGTGATGTCATAATCCCATTACACCGAGTATCCACATTGTTTATACACAAGATTTAAACGGTTTTATATTGCAGCGTATTCACTTTTGCATAATGTCAACCAGTTTAAGCAGCAATGACTTCATCCTTTTCAGTACCTCAATACATATCTCAACCACGACGAACATAATTTCCTCCAGCGTATTATCCTACGAGAAATCACACCACTTATCTTGGGTGTGGATCTGGAAATAATTCTGTTTATCCACAACGTAATCCACACTCACACCCCATTTTAATTCGAAGAGACTGCTCTAACAGTTCTTTTTTATTTTAGTTTTGATGTACCAAAATAAGCAGTTATTGTCTTCAATTCAGAATTTAAAAAGTTTTGTTCAATCTCAAAACTTTCTGTGCCACAATGCATCAAAAGTTTATTTGAATCAATATTTTTCGGTAATAAAAACATAACATTTGGAGGGTGTGGGGTGTGTGGGTGTGGGTGGGTGTGAATGTGGGTCTGGGGTGTGGGGTGTGTGGGTGTGGGTGGGTGTGAATGTGGGTCTGGGGTGTGGGGTGTGGGTGTGGGTGAATGAAGAAGATAAAGATACATTCACACCCACACTCCAATATTATTTGTACTATTGGTTGATGTACCATATTGATAAGATCTTCCAGTAGATGTTTGATAAAAAT